TGTGTGTGTGTGTGTGTGTGTGTGTGTTTGGGGTCATGCTCATGTTTGTTTAATGAGATGCTCTCATCGTTTGGTGCATTTAAAAGCCTCGGATTTCGAAATTAAGACCAGCAGCTAAATTTGGTCCTTGGGGAAAACCCGCCTCACTCCTCGCATCTTGTGACCAAGTCAGTAAAATTCGAGTCGTTCTGTAGAGTTCGCTGTTTGTGGTTTAGTGTAAGCAACATTGTCCTGCTTTAGATTCTAAATCTAATTTGGAGTTAYGTGAATTTTTAAAGATGAGGTCAGCGTTTTTTTTAACGCCGCTGACCCTCAGCTTTGTGTGAGCACTTAACTAAAAAGCACTTTGAAAGGCCCACACACCCTCTGTTAGGGTTAGCATCTATGTGGCAAAGCAAAAAAAATGTACATATTTATAAATTGCGTGCAAGCTTATCATTTAAAGTAGTTTAAACCCTGAAAATCATTTCTTGAAAACGATAAAGTTTACAATCATTTTGTAATGAAGTGCAATAAGTGAGTGTGTTTCGGATACTTCCTGTCTCCTCGGCACTTTGACACATTTGTGCTGAAAAACTGCACCTTTCAATGACAGCATCAGACAAACCCGCTCCACACACACACACACACGTACACACACGCAAACACAAAAGACTTTTTGTGACTAGGTAAAAGAAGCTATTGAAGAATTCTCTCAGGTAAAAGAACATTTTCTAATAAATGATGATAAACGTTAGATGGAAAAAGTATTGTTATCTTTTGTTTCCGCCCTCTTCATTTTTTTTCTGTGTCTGCTCGCCGATTGTTCTGCAGATTAAAAAACGGTGTGAACAAAACTCCTAATCCTGCCTCAGCCATAAATAATTTTATTCACCTTCATGTCAGAACATTTCTTCATATGAAGAGGTGGGAGTGTTTCCTCCAGTGGTTGGGTGGGGGGTCCACTCCTCTCAGGTAAAATGGGAAAAAAAACTAAAGAAAAATGAAAATAAATGAGCGACCTGTTCTTGGTTTCAGGCAAACCCAAACCCAAACCAGTGGTTCTTCCGTATGTTGCGGGTGTTTCGGAGAAACTGAGATGTTTATTTTCTAAACATGATG